TGTGTGTGTGTGTGAGAGAGAGAGAGAGTGCGTGCGTGCGTGTGTGTGTGTGTGTGTGTGTTATGTATGTTACCCATAGCGCGATACGCTAAGAACCTCACAGCACGCTGTGATACGACCGTTCAAACCACAGAGCTTTCAGGCTGCATCCGGACTTACGTGTAGCTCCATTTATTCTCATTTTCGACCCTTGCATGCATTCAGATGCCAAACCAACCCCTGAAGTCACTCAAAAAAATGCATGATGTATTCATCATTTCAAATGGATCAGATCCGAGCACCCGTTGCACAAAAGGAGAATATCAAGTAAACTATGAGAGATGAGAACAGGAGGGCGACGCCAAGTGTTCCCAAGGAGGGATGGGGGTATATAGGACGGTTGATTATGGCAGAACGTAGTTCCTCCCTTAAGTGGTTGATCTCGATACTCAGGGCCATATTAGCTTGCATAAGCTGATCCAATTTCATATTATTATCAGTATCGGTTCTGCAGAGGAGTGTCTGAACGTGGTCTACAGGGCGTGATGTTCCTCGTGGATCTTCGAAAACACAGAAGTTGTCCACTGTCTGACCTCAGAGTGATCGTTATCCATAGGTTGCTCATACCATGTAACATTCCAAGTAGATGGAGGGTCTCCTCTTTTGATGAGAACATCAATCAGAAGCGTGATACGGCTCTCAGTGCGTTTGATCAGTTCTTCAATCATAGACTGATCACAGTCCATATGATCCATATTTGGAGGAGGGACAAGGACTAAAGTTCTGGGATAATTACCTGATGCTCAGTATGTATTTCTAAAAAAAGGTTTTATCGTATACCAAGTCGCATTCACATAAGATCATTCAACTGGTATGCTCCTTCATGCAGATATGCCTCATGCATAGATGTCAAATCATGATAAAGTCATGGTACATTTATCAGAATGAGCCTATTATCCGAATATCAACGTAGTATTGTAGAGGTGACAGCGAAGGCAAATTTGTGGGAAGAATGGATCATCAAAGATTTGAAAAAAATGGAGCGATTATAAATGTGTCTAATTAAGCCGCCTCATTTCAGCATTATGTCACGGATCTGTGCATCCAGCCTATTCCATAATTACCCATACATTGTCCATAAGGGCACCCAGTATACCAGACCCCGTAATATCAGATAAATTCAATATAGTCTGAGATGAATGAGCATAGGTAAGGGAAGACCCCAGGCGAAATAATCGTGGTCATGTTAATCAATGGGGGTCCCTAAATACATTGGCTCAAGAGCATGTAGGGCCGCCAAATCAATCAAGACACGAGTCAAATCTTAAGATACAAACAGTTCTCATACCTCATGAATGAATAAATAAATAAATAGGCTCTCTGAGCAAGATTCATTCATCTCCCTGGATGAAGGAGGAGGAGGTTCATCAGAGAAAGTAGGATTCCTAGAGTGAAGAAGAAGAGCTCAGGTTGAGCGCACTAAGGGTATGTTTGTCATCAGGGTTCACCCTCTTCTATTGATCAATATTTTCGTGGTGTAGTAAATCCATTAATATCATGAACATGGGTATTAAGTATCATTAGGACATTACATAATGACATACCTAACCTCCGGTATGTGGGTTGGTATAGTCCCACAGTAAAGAGTCTGCAACTCTTTGTTAGAGGTACGGTAGCCAAGAAGGATAGCGGAAAGCATCAAAGGGACCACAGAAGAGGACATGACCGGCGAACTCATGATGGTCATACAAGCTCCAGGCACAAGTTCCGCTAACTATCATATAGGCCTTGACACCAGATGCAACAACAACCAACCGAAGGGTTCATAGGAAGCAAGAGAATCGCAGTAACTATATGAAACGCGCATCTCTAGTCGACTGACGTACTGCGTAGATACCATCCAAAAAACTTATAAGAAAACAAAAATCATCATGCCGAAAACTTCCTCCATCCAGTATTCGTCAAAATTAAGGATTATACCATAAAAAATTCGAACACACAATATTCGTCGTCCTCACATTGAGTAAAGACATCTATCCTCCAGATCCCGAGTATACTCAATACACGCCAGAGGTTGCTTAGGTGACCAACAATATCTAATTTCCTCCCAAAATTCCTAGTACATCAAGCTTTAAACAGGTGACTATCCTATCAATTGTGTGCCCAACTGATCTACGTAGCCATGCAAACAGTGTTCATCAAGATACTCAGGAAGTGTATCTAAGAACCTTACAGGTTGAGGAGGTGGATTTCAACCAAAACTAACAGGGATAAGAAGGATGGATTAGATAAGATGAGAAGATGTGGATCTAGAGATTATAAACGATGATGTGGGGCGAGGTCCCGATACTCCCCACGATTGGTTACCTAAGCATCAATATTTCAAACTCACTAACGTTCAAGGGTAGGTATTACCTCCTACCGGATAACTACCACCAGATCAGGGAGAGATGCAGAAAGATAATCGGGGACCATCTTTAATTGTGGGGACTGCATGAAAATCAGATCGGAGTCAACCTCAACACTACTGAATATCTCTCATAGCACCTAGTAGAAGACCACAGGCACACGGTCGATTGATCAGGAGGAGGAGTACGAAAGGTATGGCAGATTCGATAATTTCCAAGGTCTGGTTCAAAGATACAATATCATCTAAACTCAGCAGGTGTTATTACTATGCTATTAACTGATATAAATTTTAATACCACTTTTTTTGATCCTGCAGGAGGAGGAGATCCTGTTTTATTTCAACATCTATTTTGGTTATTTGGTCGGGATGGCAACCTTAGAGAGTGATCTCTAAAGAAAAACGTTGTCGTTTGCTGGAACAACTACACGCTATTGCTGGCATGCCCCTATATTATCACATATTCATGTGAACCGTAGGGAAGCCGTGTTTACTAGGATACAGCGATTCTATGGAAGGAAACACAAGATTACCAAACGTCATTCATATATCGTTTTCTCTCCCCAAAATCATCCTGGCCAGGTGATAGTGAATTGCAGAAAGTCGATCAGAGCAAGTCACTGTTGCTGTGTGCGATTCATATGCCAGTCCGTTATTCCCTAATGCATAAAATATCCACGTTACTCATACCAAGCGAATCAATGAACCGAAGATCCATCATTCAGATCCCTAACAACTACATACAGTCTGGGACCATCTATCCAACTTTATAGAAAAAAGAAAGATCCAATATGTAATAGAAATACCGAAACAACGTTATCGAAGTACTCTGTACATACAGAACAAAGAAAGAGAAGAGGCAGAAACCAGGAAAGTATGCAAGGCAAGAAGATAAGCTATTTAAAGAAAACTAACGGAGATTTATCAATTTAAGTCGAAGGAAACGAAGCAGAATGGACGATGGGTCTGAGAAAGAAACGAGATGATGGGTACGTACAAGTTTCAAAATTGCATAGTGACGTGAAAACCCCAATACCTCTTCGAAATGTAAAAACCATAGGTAATCGATTCATAGTGCCATATCACGGTGTGCAAGTAACTTCTGAAAAGAATTCATATCTAAAAAAGCATGGAACGCTTTTCGTGTGTCGAAATAATCAGAAAGTACAGTTAATCGAATGCATCGTTTTGTGGTGCCTCCTATCCGCAAAACCCATCCTACCCAGGTGATAATGAATTACAGGAAGCCGATCACAACAATGTGGGCTATGTGCGACTCACATGTCAGCCTATTGTTCCCTAATATATATAATATCAAAGCTGCTCGTACCCAACGATCCGGTACAATGAAGATCCATAATTCAGATTTCTAACAGCTACGTTCAATCCGGGACCATCCACTCAACTTTTTTAACGAAAAGCTGGTCCAATATGTAATAGAAATACAAAAACGATGTTATCAAAATATCCTTAGCCTACGTATATATAAAACAAAGAAATAGAAGAGGCATATGCTAAGGAAGCATGCAAGGCGAGAAGATAAGCCGTTTAAAGGAAACTGACAGAGATTCATCAATTCAAAGTGAAGGAGACGAGGCAGAAAAGATGATGGGTTCGAAAAAGAGATGATGCGTTCGCAACAACACAAGTTCCAACACTGCATAGTGACGCGCAAGTTCCGATTCCTCTTCGAGATGTAAAAGCCACAGGAAATTAATTCATAGTGTCATATCATGGAGCACAAAGAGTTCACATCTAAAAAAGTATGGAACGCCTTCATGTGACAAGATAATTAGGTAAATATGCTAGCATAGTTGATCGAATGTATCCTCATTATTCCCGTTAGTTAACACACCACAGGTGAAACAGTCGGTGGGGCTATCACTATTATAGACCAAGTCTGCTCTATCTTGATACACATAGAAAAAACTAGTCCATTAGAAACCACTCCATTCGTGTTGCAGTCAGGCTATCACTACCAGGCTATTACTCCGACGAACAGGTTATTACTACCAAGAAAGAACTAATCCAT